ACAATTTCGAATGGAACGATTTCGTTTAATTTTATTAGCGTGTATCGTAACTGTTTATTAGTTGGAGAGTGGTCTCGGGGGCCACTTGTTGCGCGGCAACAAGTTGGTCAACTGTTCTTTCCATTTAGTGCTGAGCGATGTGTCAGCAGAGTCCGCTAACTTTCTTGATATTAGGGCTTTAATCATAAACGTGTTCCAAGTTAGCCCGAGTTGGCTTTATCTAGTTCGACATACGTGAAGACCGTAATACCGTCTGTAATTTACGCGAGTATTACACGTTCAAACAAAACACTAACGGTTTAAAACGCGGTCTACATTAAAGGAATTTATTTGAAAATTATTTCAACTACGGCCTGACGTTTTTATGCTGTATATATCGCGTTTTAAACCGTTAAAGTGTTTCATTTAAATACATAAATACGTTTTATTCCAGGATAATTATATTATTTACTAGATAAGCGAATTCTATACATATTTAAGTACTGTCTGTAGTTTACGCGAGTGATACACCTATATGAACCACTTTTAACGGCTTAAAACGCGAAAGTTATCAATTAACTATTCTTGCTGTTGCTGAATGCTTCGCAGTTGTCACGGGGGTTTAATATATTGCGCGATTTAAATCGTTGAAATTGTTTTATTTAAACGATTTTCCGAGGTCTAACTAAAATAAAATCCATCAGTAGAAGAAAAGTGTGGAAACGAAATTACATTTATACAACATGTATGCGAGTTTTAAATTTTAAATGAATAGTAGCAGTTTAAATGTATTAAACTCAAAGTTTTTCAGGTAAATATGTAAACAGCCACATTCATGTAAATACATTCTTTTTAAAATGAAAGCTTTTGAAATACAAATTCCCTTTCATACGTAATCGATTGAAATGTACATGTTTTGAAGCGATACAAAGTATTGGATTGAGTTGTACTTTGCTGAATAGTAATGTATGCACTTTGCTTACGAAGGGATACCTTATTCATTGCATGAATTGAATTTCTTAGAGGAGGGCAGTTTAATAGAACGACGGATCTACGTCAGTTACCACTGCTGCTAAGTAGATACAGTAAATGAAGTTTTATAGTGTTCAAGACATGCATGGAAGTATTTACTATATATTTTATATAATAATCGTAATTTTGATATATACTTAAGGTTTGTGATGGTAGAGAGGAACATACACGGGTAGACATTTTTTTTTTATTTTCCCTTACTTGTGTTGTCATCGATAAAACGCCTACTTTTTATGAAAATGTGTATTATATTCAGTATACATAGATTTTTTTAAATGTAATTAAAAAAACGGATGATGACATACGCAGCCGGAATGAGAACGGTTGTTAACGGTTTAAAATGCGATAAATATTAGTTAATAGTTTCCATATAATGACGTTTCGGGTGTTTACAGAAGTTATTACAGGGTTCAGTTGATAAAAGCCAATATAAATAAACATCCCAGTAATTGAATCCACGACTTTTCCACTTGTGGGCGTTGGACTAAAAGTCCAAATTTATAATAAAGATATAACAGCAAGCATTGTCTGTTCTTTACGAGAGCAGTACACATTTAAGTTTAGGATTTCGAAAACGGAAATATAGGTTTTATTAGTATTTATTATTAGTAAACCTATTAGTAAACATATTTAAATATATTTTAGCTAACGTTTCGGTCCCCTGTGATTGCGGTTTCTGTAAAACATCCGAAAGGTCAGGATATAGTTAAAGTTTATTCAAGGAAAGTCAGGATGTTTTATTTAAGGTTCATAATATTATAATTGATATGTTAAATTCTTTAAAATATGTAGATGTGCACAATTTTCTACTTTGGTTAATAATTCACTAATCCTCCACTAAAGTGTTATCCCACAAGCTAATTTTCATTTTATCATTTTGCGGAAATGGAAATGTACCTACTCTCGAGTTCGGGAAAACTGCAGTAAACTTTTCCGTCACGTTAGTCCAGTAATTTTCTCTGGAAATAAGTTTCATTGCAGGAAAATGCGCTTTTAGATTATACAGATACCTTTTAAATATTAATATTTAAAAGTCTAAACTCGTAATTCTAGATATTTGTGTGAGTGGATTCCTACTGGATGACTAACTTTTACTATTTCTATATATAACTAACGGCATAACTAGTTTTACTCGCGAGTCTGCATCTAGTCGCTAAGTTAGTTGCAAAGTTATAATTTATTAGATTACATTCTGAAGATTTTCAGAACAAAATAGAAAATTTTTTAAAGTCTGTTATAAAAAATATAACTTAGATTTGTATTACATTACGGAATTTGATACAACATACTTTCTGACCTTGCCTGTGAGCCAAAAATCAAATGGAGTACTGAAAAAAATACGACCGTTTCGGATTGGTATGGATCTATTAAACAATTAAAATTTTTACCAAGTTCAAATTATAAAGAGATCGATTTCCTTGTCCCTTGGTATGGTATTTAGGCTCTTTGTAGACTAAGTTATAATATAGCCTAGTACAATGTAGTCTTAGCAATATGGCGTATATTTTTCTTTAGTATTTTTTGTTATAAATGCGAAAGTAACTCTGTCTGTCTGTCTGTTACTCTTTGACGCCAAAACTACAGAACGGATTTGAATTAAATTTGATACATAGATGGTCTAGACCCTGAGAAAGGTCATAGGCTACTTTTTATTGCGAAACAGGGGTTGTAAGGGGTTAAACAGAGGAGTGAATCTTTGTATGGAAATTCGTTGTTTTTGAAGCTAGAATAATTAAACTTTCTTCTTTGGTTTTTTGGGAATAGGACTGGGAGTGGGAATGGGAGTGGGAGTGGGCACGGGAGTGGGGGTGATGTGAGGTTGCCTGTGATAAATGCGCAATTACATAAATTAATAAACATCCTAAATAATTAAAAATTCTACCCCAAGACACTATTCCACGCGAACGATGTCGCGGGTTACTACTATATAATATATATTACTAAGCACGGAGTAGCAATGCAAAATAAGCAGCACGGAACGCTGTGGTCCAAGTCCCGCCCGGTTCACATTTTTTCAATCTAAATAGATGTTTTATTGAATAATATATAGGTTAGGTAAATACCGTCTGTAGTTTACGCGAGTATTACACGGCATTAACTAAAAATAACATATATATCGTGTTTTAAACCGTTAAAATGTTTTATTTTAATCTATATATAGATGTTAATAATAACTTTTCATTGGCTTTCTGTTTTCTAAACTTTTTGTTTTATTAATACATGATATTGTTATGCAATATATTCTAGCACAATCTGTAAAGAGCTTTGGTAATTAAAGATTCCAGCAAAAAGCAACACCGAAAGCGCTTAATGCAAACTATAAAGCGAACATAATAAATGATACACTAATTAGATACTAATAACGAAGCGTAATCTCAGCGTGGAGTGGGAAGTTTTAACGACCCAGTTAGCAGTAGACCCTTTCAGTTGCTAGCGAAGTAGTTATACTAAAGCTCACCGCGTTAATAGCTGGTGGCATTCGTCGAATTAAAATCCGCAATTTAGCCATTTGTATCGGTCAGTTGGACTCGACTTACACTATTTAACAAGGAACCAGTTATTTCGTTTTTTATTTACTAAAAGTAAAATCCCGTTTCGCGATGTGGGGCATGGGGCGAACACTTTTCTGTACATGTCAAGTAAATTAGCCTTTTGTACCCTATTTGACTGACATTATCTATTGTTTCCCCGGATTTGCATTTTAGTACATTTAAATAAAACATTTAAACCGCGTAATAAATTAGCTAACTTAATTTAAATTTATTTTAACTATGACCGGGTGTGTATGGACAACTTTGATCGCTAATAAAAACCGTTCAAAGTGATTTATTAAAATACTCCCTTTGTTCCTGGCGATAAATGATTATCGCAACGAAATCAAGAAATAAATAATATTTTAATAATCATTCTAAGGCACTCAAAGTCAGATATCTCGATTATATAACTATTTAGAACGAAACGTGAACAAATTTCGAATTTAATTACTACCCTGCGGAGTCACAAAGGGTCGCGATCTCGTTAAAGTTTCTGATGTTGGATTTTATGGTAATTTATGAGGAAAATATCTAATGGAGCGGTATTAAAAGGGTTAACTAAGCGCGTCTAGTTTAGTGATCACAACTAAATAAAATGTATAACGCTGCGCACTTTTTCTTCGCAAAATCTCTTTAGTTTCTACTTTATAGTAAGTAATGTGCATAATTTTTTTATAACAAATCAAATTAAATTTGATCAATTAATTTCTCTCATATTCAAGAAAATATAGGTATGTGGAGGGACACCGCGCCCTAACGAGAATTGTATCTGTAAGTAGGCACAATGCCGATTTTCAGTAATGCCCCAAGCTTCACATATACATAACGCGCTAAAAGTATTATAAATAGTCTTATTTAATATTTATATCTTATTAGCTACAGATAAAAGTTTGACCCATATAATAATTATGATAATATCATCGAATACAGAATGGAATTAATTATCAACCCCTAATAGAGATTGTAATACAATAATAAAGCTAATTACATTTAACGGGGAACAAATGAAGCAGTTATTTTCTGAGTAAACACGAGGACAGTAAATCGCTTAGTCTAATAACATAAATACAGTATTTATTGTGCAAATACTATTAGGCCGACGGAGGCTTGAGTGTCTCCCTACTTTGTGATTGTATGTTGCATCAACATAGGCCGGGTTGTAATTTACCGAAGAGGCTTCTATAGATTTATTATTGACAAGCTGTGGCCGGGATTTTATCCGCGTAGAATAGTTATTTTCAAACTTTTCGTCTTTATAAATATCTATATATTGTTTCGTAACCTTGTTGAAACGTGGATATTCGTACCGCTCATTTAATTTTCAGTTTTCCGCATATAACAAAAATAATTAAAAACTCCGATCGAGTAATTAAAAGCTTAAGCTAATGTTTCAAACATACCAGATCAGGTGGGAAATAAACCCATTATTTTTCCGAGCCGACATCGTAGGCCTTACTAACTAGCTATAGTAATAATAATGTTGGTGGTACTCACAACGTCGATGAGCTGACTTAGTCGAAGCCCCATCTTGACGGTTAGGCGATCTGAGTTGTTGCCAACCGGTCGGATGAGCCGGTTGTAGTTCGACAAGAGATCGTCGTAGAGCCGCTTCGCTTCCGGGTTCGCGACGGTTAAGCGGCCACACACGCACAGGACTCCGACCACAAACGCCAGCACCATCTTAGGCTAACACCTCCCCTGTGGACAAATATTGACCCAATTAATCTTCAACGTATATCTTTGCCTACCTAAGAAGAAACGAGAGTCAGTTGACGAAACAGGTTGAAATCAATTAAAAAACGAATATATGTAGCGTTTTAAACTGTTAAAGGTATTTTTTTTAATACCTAAGGTTTTCAGATCCTAATCTAGCACGCTCGCATTTTTGGTATTTTACTAGAAATCGAACTCTCAACCATTATCCAAACGAACTTCTGACAAGAACTGTAAGTGGGCTCACATACTCTTAGACAAACATAGCTAACACGGTATTATTAATATTATTATTCATTTACTGCTTATCTTGGTGGCTCATTTGTTGAGTGCGAGGTGTACTCAACAAATAAGCCACCGAAGTCAAATACCAACTTCGACAGAACAGATGGCGTTAGCGTAGCAGTTTTTACTTTGACGTCAAAGACACCCTCCATCTTCAGTCTCCCCGTGACCACAGCTGCTGTAAAAATTCCGAACGGTCGGGCCGTAGTTAAAAATAAATTTAAATTAAGTTTAATATATGTCGCGTTTTAAACCGTTAAAGTGTTTTATTTAAATAAAATTATTATATTCGTCTTTTGTTACCTACTTATAATAATTATTAGATTGTATAGACATATCAATCAATACTTTCTCATAGTTAATTAGCTGTAATAATAATGCTAATCGACAAAGTAGCTGCCAGAATCAGCGTATGCAAATACATCAATACGAAATTAATTTTATTGAAATTATAGCAACAGTTTGCACTGCAATGACTAGTCAGTCATAGATCGCGATTATTAATTTCTAAGAACAAAACAAAACGAATAGCAGTTCGTATTTTTTTATGATAGAGTAGAGCAGACAAGCGTAGGACTCACTTAATGGAAGGAGAGATATCCCAGCTATGTAAGACCGTACAAAATGCGCTACCGACCTCTTTTGGCGTTTAACTTTCGGATAGGTAGAGACTGCGATTCGTGACCACAAATTTCAATATTCCCACTACATTTCATTTCTAGCATTCCAGATAAAATCTAACAGGTTTCAGATATATTATAAATTGATTACAAATATGTTAGACCCGTTGGAGATCGAACCCACGCCCAGATATTCATTTGCCATAGATTACAACCATTAGAACAGTGAAAGTTACTCGAGTCACTAATGCTAAACATTTTATATATTTTTCTGTTGTTCGAACTAAGGTCCTTATTGAATTGTGTTACAGTAAAAGATATAGAAAATTTTAAAAGTATGGTTACAAAAATGTACATACAAAAAGAAGAAGTAAGAATGGTAAAAATTTGAATTATTAATTTGTATAAACAATGACTCATGATTTGTCGTGAGTTCTAACTCTAAGTGGTCTATTGGTCTACTAATATCAAAGTAAAAAGATCTCTGATCAGAGTTCTTTACGAAACTCATTCTACATGGATTGGAATACATCGAAATAATACTATATTTTGTCGTAACCAAATCCGATTAATATGAGAGACAATTATGAACGCTGCAAATTGAGCTTCCGATAAACGTATTGACATTCGTAATGAATGGAAAATCAATTATGATAATTATAATCAACGTACTTTACAATTAAATGTTTGTATTTAATAACTATGTAAATAGTTATTATAGACAACATCAACACATGCTGTCCTTTACACATGTTTAAAGAAGGTATCTATCTTTTTTATTACAACTAATCGAGCCGTTACAAAATAATTCGTTCGTATATACTTACTTATTACATATTATATTTGACGGACGTTTTAATACAACACAAGTCATTACTTGAATAATTTTGTACAATATCAATGTATTTTTTAGGTAGGTACTTTATATGTAAAATGTGAAATCGACGTACCTAATCGATGGTACATGAACTTTATGAGAGCTTAACTAGGTTTTATTTAATTCGATACTTTTATCACCGACTTTACATAAACCGAACTTATATTTACCAAGTTTAACATAAAAATATTTTAAATGAATTTAAACAAATATGAAATTCACGAGATCATCGTTAACTGAGAGTATTTAAATGTTGAAGTAGAACCTTTTTGCTCTTAATTTAAAATTGACTAAAAAAAACCATTCTCAAGAGGTTTAAAGTAAAAATTACATTTTCCCTCTAGATATAAGCCCTAATTGAAAAAACTCTCCAAGAAAAATATATTTAACGAAAATACTGGAAAATATTATACCACCTCCATTTTTTTGATACTAGTTAAAATGTTGGACTTTGAACTCTGTTTATAGTGACATAAGACTTCATTTGTGATCAAAAACTCGGAGCTAGGTAAACGATGAAAAATCATTCAACGAATAAAAAGCCTAAGTTAGCTGGAATAGAAATTATTTTCGCTTGTCATAAGCGAGCGAAAATGAAAAGGGATTAAGGGGTTCACTGCCGTGGCATCGCGGTCGGTCTTTTGATTTATTTTAGTCTCGAATTCAAAAACTTTGTGTGGTCAACGTATGAAATTAATGTATTTATCTAAAATGAATAACAGCTGATTATAAATTTATTCAATGGTTTAATTACTAGGTAAAATTCAGAATTGAGTGTCATGAGTGTCGTGAATGTTTTATCCACATTGAATAAAACATATTTATCTGTTACAAAATATTAATTGTTTTATCTTTAACTGTATCTCAATGTTTTGGTGGTTTGCAGCAGCTGTTGTCTCCATGATCAGGTTTATTCGAAATTAAGGAATATTACGCGTTAATTGATTATTATACAAAAAACTGTTAATTTATTTCAGTTACCGTTGTAACTTGTTTTTGATAAACAAACCCAAATTTTATGCTCGGTAATCAATTTAATATTCAGTTTACTTGGCCGCATGATGTGTATTTACGACGAAACCAACTAAAGCAGAAAATTGATCAAAATTTCCAACGTTTTCATGCATGTTACGGTTCGAAATTTTAATAGTTCAACTTAGGCTGTTATTATAATGAAAACAATATAGTAATACATATTCATAATAGGAAATCCACAAAAAAAATATACAGAAGTATAATAGATACAAACAAAAGAAATCATTATAAAAACTACATGTGTATTTTACTCGTAAGATTTAAATTTCAAATTTACTTTCCATGTTAGAGAATTCCTAAGTTATAGTGTTCGAAAATTGTCGATTCTAGGATTGTCTGTGGCAGATGATAGAACCCGGAAATCAGCTGACGCGATCTCTGTCGACACCGGATGCTGCTATGACGTCACCCCGCCCTACAGAGCTCGTTGAACCGAACGCGGTCGCCCTTTGCTACTGTAAAGAGCGACTTCAGTTCCATTTTTGAAAACAAATTCTAGTTAGGTGCATTAATTAACTTGAATGGAATCGTTTTGCATGCAACATTATTATCCGTATATAATAACTACATTCTATACATCAAAACTATTTCTCTACTAATATATAAAGCCGAAGAGTTTGATGTTTGTATGTTTAAACGCGCTAATCTCAGGAATTACGAGTTCGAATTGAAAAAAATATTTTTGTGTTGGTTATTTTATTTATTGAGGATGGCTATAGACTATAAAACATCGCCCTGTGACTAATAAAAGCAAAGATACAGCGAGAAATGTGAAAAAAATTGGGACAATCATTCATCATTATGGGTGTCCGAGGCCTACGCAGCAAAAAACAGTTCAATTGGGTATCTGAACTCCTAAACTGTACTATCTGAACTGAAAAATGATTCATCTTTAAATGATCTAGAAGAAAGTCCGCAATGTTTTATGTCTATCTTTCAAGATTATCTTGCAAGAACGACGGGAAGGGACGCAACCGACGTCGTGGGTAACAGCTTAAGTAAAGATGAAGGGTATTCAAAAACGAATTTGTATGCCCAAAATAACAATTTTCGCCGACAAAGCCGCTGACACAGCTAGTATAAAATATATTTGAAGTTTATATTTCCACGTTTTTGTTCCTCTAATGATAATAAAAATGTATTATATAGATTAAAATCACTTTTCAAATAAATATTCTATGAAAACTGCAACAAGAATGATTATAATCCAAAGGAGGTTATAAGAGTTTGTCGATTTCAAAATTAAGGAGTTAAAAACGCATTTACCATTCAGGATTATTTGTTTTAAATATTCCTATTTAGAAACGAAATTTATTCGTTCATTGAATTCTAAATTGAGTCCGCAACTTGTATCTTACAAATAAATGAAGAAACAGAATTAGTAACACGGAGACTCTCGGAGGTCTTGTTAACTTCAAAGGAAGTCAGTTAAAATAAACTCTTCAGCTCTAAGATAACCGCGACACAACTCTACGTTTGTGCATAACGGAGATTTATGATGCAACATCTTGAAGCGATATCCTGAAATGGAATTACTAGACTGCAGCTAACCGTTCGCCGAAAATAAATGGCGAAACATTCGGTGCTTTCCAGATGTAACACTATATATATGTATCTTGAAGCTAACTAATTACTTATATTAGCAACTTGCTAGTTCATTTTAAGTCCGGAAAGATGCAGGAGGAAATTTTTTATGGTCATGGTTCGTATATTCTAAAATAATATTATTTTAACTAACATTTGTAAGGTTAAAATAATGCGAGAGCGGTGCACGTATTGAAAGTTGAATTCCAGTATAGGACATGGTAGCTTAATTAAATTAAGCAATGTAAGGCAGCTGTAGAGGCCAGTTCGAGACCTGCCCGTATCCGAAAAGTTTTTAGGTTTAGATTTTTTAGTTTATCATATAAATTAAATGAATATGGAAGTAAATTCTGTATATTTAAATTTAACGTATTTTGTGTTGTTCACATTGTTTCGTATGTAAAACACGTAATAAAGCGTAATGTATCTAAAATATCACGACACGAGAAGGCTATTTCATTGTATTCAATACAGCACTTAAAGGCTGTACGTCCGCAGAATCGAATGCAATTCAGAGTTCACTTCCATTTATTACATTCTTACGCTCTGCGGTCCCACAAAGGCTC